TACTTTGTGTAGATGCGAACAGATCCAGATAAACATGAAGAGATAGATTTTGGGAATGTCTTGTATCCCATGATTTTTATAGTACAAGGTTTATTCAAAGCACTCAACAATTGAAGAAAAAAGGGTCTTGCTCTTGAATTTTTTAAAATTTATAAATAGGCTCTCAATGCTTTCGATACTTAAGTGGGAACTTTTACATACAATCACACACACAATATGTCATTAAATCTTGCTACTAATGTAATTTCAAAATTATTGAAAATGAGAAATTGATTAGTTCTCAACTGATTTGGACAGTCACATTAAAATCTTATCATTCTAAACAGTGCTGTTTACTGAAACATATTTTCTTTCATAACAAATAACCAGTCAAATTACACACAGCATTTTACACACTGTTTCCTCACCTAAGAGTAAACTGGCTTCTCCTCTGCAATTTAAAATTTGCCAACAAGGACCAAGTATAGTAGAATTAAAATAACTTCTTTGTGGTAATACCTTAAAAATGCACAATTTTGCTGTCACAATCCAAGCCTTGCTGTTCAAACACTTTAAGAAATATATATACAAGGTAACTCCCATATTGTCTCTCACAAAGGAGAGAGAGAGTAACACAAGCAAATAAAATTGACAATAATTCTGAGGGAAAAAAAAAATGCAATTTAAAGGTTGGGGCCCGGGAAGTAAAGTTCCTGTTGCAGTCTGTCACTTACAATCCAAATGGCTCCAAATGCTACATGCATATGTAGCGCTATTCATACTGACCAATATGCATTTAAAAGCTTACATTTTCTCATTTTAAATATAACAATAGAAGTAAAATTGAGGCACAAACACAGTCTAGGGTTTATTGTTTCCTTTCCTTGTAAATTTGACATTCATCCTAATTTCAAGTGTACTTAAATCTTCCTATACTTCAATTTCAATAAGTACACAACCCAGCATCAAGATAATCCTATCAATTTCTACCAAGCACATCTTGTAAACAAACAACAGGTCAAAAGTGTATAGGAGTTATGCTCATAGTGCATTGATTAGCTGTTGGATGCATTAAAAACAGATACTAACCACCCTAAGAAGGATAGTGAAAAGTGATAAACTAATACAGAATATTTATAACTACTGTAACAATGAAACAAAGACAATTAATTAAAATGATTAAAAGTGAAGTCACACATCACATCAAAGGAGCTTAAAATGTAGCATTCTAAATAAGGATATAACACAGCCCATCAACAAGTAAACGCATAAGTTACAGCTTCACATTTTCTCCCGACAGCAACCCACTCAAAACTGAAATTTCAAAAGGTGGCTTAGTCATCTTGTGAACCCTGAGTTCTTCGTCTGGATCTTGAACGACCACCTGCACAGAAGTTCATTGTTAGACAGATCAAAATTGCTGTACTGGGATAATTGAAAATTTTGACATCAATCTCAAAGATGATGCTATTACCTCTTCTAATTTGATTTAAACACGCCACCATACGAATCATGAAAGAAGCAGGCACAGTGATGGTGTCTCTGGTCTCTTCGAGCATCAAGGCATTTCTTTTGACAATCTGTAAAGTAAAAAACCATTAAGAAGGCTTTTATAAAATTTATGGATCACAGGGAGAACTTAGTACAACTTAATACGACTAGTGTCTTACTTCATCAGCCAAGTCTTGATCAAAAGAACATCCCTCTCCAACAGGTGCCCAAAGTTTAATGTCATGATCAATTCCTGAAGTAGCGAGCAGAGGCTCTGTAGGATGGGGTTGTAGACAGTTGACAACATGTTGATCAGCTTGCAAAAGCATTACTAGCTTTGCACTTGAACGATCCCAAACAAACACATGGCCACAGTCTGAACCTGACATGACATAGTCTGTGCCCCAAAAGGTAGCTTCTTTAATCATTGTCCTGAAATAGAAAATGTTTTCATAGTGAGTTGAAATAAGAATAAAATCCAATTTAGTTGGTGGCTGATGTGCTCAACCAGCAGTGCTATGTAAAAGGCTCAAACAGAAAACACAAAATACATAAAATCGTTCTCGCACACCAATTCAACACTAAACTATCCATGTGGCCAGATGGAGAAAAGGTGTGTGTATGTTTAGATCAGTAAAAAACCCAAAATAAAAAGAAATATGATCAAGAAAAGAAAATAATCTGTAATGAAACAGAATGTTCAGTCCTGAAGAACAGTTTGACAAAAGTTCTGGAATATCTAAGTCAACAAAGCACAGCAAATACAGTAGATTCATACAACTTTGTTTCAATTTCCAATGACATATACCACCTGTTTTTACTGTATTAATTGGGTTATTATTAACATAGCATAGTAAAACAAAATGAAATGCTGGCACATGCTTTTACAGTTACAGCACATGCTGATGATTGAGCAGCTAACACAAGTAACAACAAACATTTTGGTTGATCAAGAACTATTGCCTGCAGCACATCAGAACTACCTCTGTGACTCAAAATTTTGAGGGAGAGAGTCACATGGAAAGTTTCCAAAAATATTTCCAAGCTTCAAATTATTTCATTTTGAATCAAAAAAAAAATGTCACACTCAACATTGGCAAGTCAAAAATGCAAGTATTTGTGCCATCCCAGTATGCTACAAATCCGTATGAAATATGCAATTGTTTCTAAAGTAAAAGCCTGTTATGACGGATTTGTATGAACAGCCGGAGCATTTCAGATTGTGCTGCTTATATTCACTCAACAAATTAACACAAACCCCAAATACTCACATCTCGGTTCTGATGAATGGCAGGAAAATAAAGAAAAAAAAAGTTTTAATGGGAGCAGGAGATCAGATGACAACAAGGTAAGAATAGGCAACAAAATGTGGAGGTGAAATTATACGACAGGTATTATTGCTTTTTAAAAGATATGTTATTGTGATTTGCAAAATAAAATAAAAATTCTAGCTGGAGGTAAGTTTAGCAGAATCTCTAACATTTCCATGACTTTACTGAGCAAGGCAGGCAGGTGCATGCTGACCTTTAGATTTAAAATGTCAAACTTGAGGAAAATTAAGCTCATTATTATTTTAAAATGAAATGATGACATAAGTCAAAAATTAAATAGATGACACATGCCTACTAACACCAAGCTGACACGGAGGACCAACATACAGCACATATGATATGATATTACTAGACTTAAACCTGTTAGATATTCCCTTTTAAATATTAGATCAAAATTAGAAAGAAGTAATCAAAGAGATGTTGTTTGGAAGTACCAATAAATCAAAAAATGTGTTTGAAGTAATGTTGTTCTAAGTGTCTGTTGTATACTTAAAACTACAGTACACTAAGTGTGCAAATATTATAGCTAAAGGTAAGGGGACTTTCAAATGCTTGTAGGGAAAAAAAGATACACTATTTGGTTATCAATTTGTTCTTCTATGTCATAGTCACAAAATGGTTTTGGTTTTCAATACTTTACGATAGGCTTTGCTATTGCTTGACCAATTGAGTGCCCAGATCAGAGTTTCAAAGTCGAAAATAAGGACAAATGAGAAAACATGCATTGGACCAACCTGGCATTGCGATGACCCGTATACTGTTGCTTGATTTCGGGAAAAGGAACTTCCTGACTATTCGACAGATTGCCAAGACCAGGAGGCGCAATACGACTGGCAAAAACAAATCATTAATTAGATTGGTTGCCACAAAACATTTCAACAACCCCTCAAAACGAGATGAAATTTTCCTACCTTCTAAGTTCCCTTCGCAAGTCTTCTTCATCTTCTTCACTGTCATAATCACTAAACAAGGAACCTGTAAGGATGAGACAACGAAAAAACAGAATTAAACCAGAGTTAAAGAGTACTGCTTTGCTGTTTTACAATTAGATAATTCAAGTATTAGAATATTTTACTGAGTTAATAACAAATTTATAGGTTCAAATAAAAACAGCAGAAAATAACATGGATAAACAATCACTGCACATTGTTAAGATGGAGCTGTTATTAGACAAGATAACTATGACCTGATCAAGTAAGTCTTTTCCACAAGCAGGAAACTGGTCCAAGGAAAGGTGAAGAGGGAAGCGGGAAGAGTCCCTATCTCACATCTGTCCTGTATGTACCAGGAGCGGAGTGGGTTTCCTACGCAAGAAAGGGAAAGGCATAATGGTGACACCTACATCATGTCAATTTCAATAAGAAAGAGAGAAAACAGGGAGAGCCTTGAGTCTGAAAGCCTGTCAGGCTGCCAAGTCTACAGCATTGTTCTTTCAAAGGTCATGGTCCTCTGCGCTAATAATAGCTGCAGAGTGAGCGCCAAGACAGCGTCTCATGGTGGGGGTGCTCAAGAGAAAGCACGACAAAAGACAAAAAAGGACTTGAAGCACCTACAGAACACATGAAAAAATTCTAGTAATTACCTTGATCAGACATTGAATCTGATGATGAACCCAGATTTTGAGCACTTGGACCAGGAACAGGTTCTGGTCTTAATTGTTGATCCTTAAACAAACAACCAAAATTCATAAAAGTGCCAAATGACAAACTCTTTCTTCAATTTACTCAAAATCAGTTGAACATCTGTACCTCATCTAATACAAGTGATTGTTGTGAGACAACTGGGCTCAGAGGTGAACTGCTCGGTGTAAGGATTTCACTCTCATCAGCACCAGTGACTTCAGCTTCATTATCTGGGCGCAGAGAGATGACACTTGTGTTTGTGCTCAGGTGCGAATAGCTCAGACTGACAGCTGGCTCTACCCCATGCCTGCTTGTAATACAAAAAACAATTTTATCACCAGGGTGATGATAGCTGCTGGGAATTTGTACCGCTAGTTCAAATGGTTACCTAACAGAACCACTGGTCTACTAACCTTTCAATATAGCAGTCTCGCAGGTCAACTAATTCTGATTGCAAAGTGTCAAGATCGTGCTCATGTATACCAGCTTCCGCATACATAGTTGTGGTTTCAGGAATTTGATGATCAGTTTGTTGATTGACAACAGAAGAAGTTTCGGATTCTATTTCACTTCCTGCCTCCACACGTTCTGAGGTTGGAGCTTGCTCCAGGCGATTGGCAGTATTTGCCTCAGCATTCGAAGTTTCTATTTCATCAAAAATATCTGTAGGTTCTCTTCCATTGCTACTAACTGTACTTAAAATATCTGGACAAACTATTGGTTGAGGTTCTGTGTGTTGTACAATACTTGATGAAGGCTCACTTTCATTACTTTCCTTCTGGTGCTCTGGGTCTCTTAAAGGTGCAATTTTATACTCAGTCTGTGGTTGAGATGTAGCAGGAGATGGTGAGTCACAAAAATTCTCAGGCCTTTCATAGCAGTCAGCTAATGCATTATCTTCTTCTGATAGAGCAGAAATATTTTGTGACAAGTTTGCACTTGTGAAAGGATCATAAGAAGTTCCAGGGGCCTCAAATAACTCATACTCCTGGAGTGGCTGTTCAAACACCTGAGGACCAAGGTTATTTCTTGGAGAAGCAAGTCTTTGATCATCTGAAACTTCACCCACATCACCCTCATCGTTTCTCACTGCATCAGGAGGGTCTTGTGAAACAGAGGCATGTTCCGTTCCTTGTGAACTTTCAGGGCTTCCTGCTTCATCTACACCACTTGTAAGGGCTGCCCGGGTTGCTGGGTCATTGAGCAGCCGAGAGATCACATTGGTTAAATGTTGCATTAATGGGGTATGAAGAGTTGGTCTGGCCTGAGCAATATCTGTTGGAAAAACAAGAGCCAAGTTATGGTACTACCCCTTGCAATGTCGTTTACATCAATGTGCTTAGATAAATGACTAAGAGATAAGTATTTCAGTAAAAACAATAATTTGTCTACAAAACTCAAATAAGCACTTAAAAATAAATATATTGCAGAATTGAATCAGGATACACACCTCCTCTTCCACCAGCCTCTCGCTCAGGTCTAGCGTCTGGCCCAGTATCTGACCAATCTCCTCTCAGTCGTAAACGGCGAACAGGTGTTGGCGCGGAAGAAGATAGTTTCAATTTTCCTTTCTTGCACAAAGCTGCTGAAGTTTTCAGCTGGGTGTTTTCTTTGCCCTAAAAAGCAAACACTGTGTGATTGCAACCTAAATACTAACAAAGAACAACCACACTCTACAATATCCATGTAAAATTTACCCTCAAGCTGAAGAGATACAAGTCATCTGAGGAATAGCTGACAAGAATCTCCTCCCCTTCAGGAGCAAAACAGAGTGAGGTGATGCGGTACGCCCGCTTGAAGGATGGTACAGTGAAGGCACACAAAGGATCTGCCTGCTTAGTGGTCATACCTGAAACAAAGATGTTCAAATAAAATACGATATGGGGGAATCGATGGAAAACTTGTCAATGATCTAATACCTGTTGATTTGGTGCCAAGCATTCGTCGATCAAATAAACGAACTGTACTATCTGAACACCCAATTGCTAGCTCAAAGGGGGCAGTCATGTTGACTGACATGGCCGTTACTGCTCGCTGGCATTGGATCATAACATCCTGTATGAAAGGGATGGTTTTTGTTTTTTTATAAATTTAATTGTATTGCATCAGCAGATATGGTTTCAGAACAGAAATAGTTAATAAATAAAAAAAATACCTCTTGGCAATTTGCTTTGTTGCAACTGTCCTTAATGCGAAGATCGTACCATCGCACTGTTCCATCTTCACCGCAGCTAAGGAAGGAATGTGGATCTAACGGTACAGTAGCTACTTCGTAGGCAGTGCCACAGTGACAGTTAAACGGTTTGTAGACTGGCTCGATGGACATCAGATCTACAGTATTGTGAAATAATCAGATTGTATTAGCTCACAAACTCAAGTGAGTCTCTTCTTTCACTATAATACACTATAAATCTACTTACCTGTGAACAATAATATTCCATCGCCTGAGCATGAAACAATTCTTGTGTCTCTAATACATGGCAGGAATTTGGCACTGAAAATATTTGCCCGATGACTTGTTTTGAAGTCTTCTACAATCTGAAATCAAGAAATTTTCACATTGACATAGATATAAATGTAAAAAATAATGGCTAATTTAATATGAAAAAGCTCATAGAAGTTTTGCTAGAACACAACACAGTCTAAAATATGTACATACTTTGTGTGTGAAGGCGTCTGATATGATGAGATGTTGATCATCAGATCCAGAGAGCAAGTATTCCCCGGTTTCATTCCATGATATTGAATTTACACATCCAGAATGCACAGCAATATTTTTTATCAGTCCCATTCGTTGTAAAATTGACAAATCACCTGAAATATAGTCAATAATCAACGACACATATCTCTACAAAAATATGTTGGTACAAAATACGATTTAACCATGAGAACAAAAAAATCATGAATTAAAAGTTAAGCAAAGTAATTTGACAACTCAAATTTAAATAATTCAAGATACTTCTGTCTCGAGAACGTAAAAAATTACATAGCAGGGGAGGAAAACAATTGTCTTAAAATCAATATGACAAAGGTATAAGGTTTATTGAGGAATTTCAAGCGCAATTTAAGACGGCACAGATTTTCCTTTTCTTGAATGCTCTTAGTTAAATATTGCGAGCCTTTACGATACTTATCTTCCCGTGACAAGACATAGCTAAATGAATACATACTAACCTTTACTACTGCGATATATTTTCGATCTGGACGTATCATCATAGGGTAGGTTGTAGGCGGCATGAAAGAGGCTTTTTTCGCAAATCTTGCTCCTCTTCATATTTCCGGCAAGGTTGACTCTTGGTTCTCTCGAAATCAAGCAGGGCGCACTTCAATTCATGGTGAAAAAGTCACGGATGATGCCACAAAACGAAACGACAAGAAAGAGTGGCTCCAATAGCATTAGCAAACTAGCAGAAGACACCGTTCTACGCAACACAGCAACAACCCCACTGCTGGCCACTGCGCTGTGCCTCGGCCTTCCACCTCGCTCGGGGTTGGGCTAGGCGCAAAAATAGCTCCGCCCGTCGGGGACCTTACGCGCCTAAGCCGCCTAGGCTGGTTATGAATGGCAGGAATCAGCTGTTCGCCTGACAGATGCACAGTAGCTGACCTTCGACTTCACTTGATCCCCCGTTCGTCGGGCAAAACAAAATGGACGTTCAAACACCCTGTTGTCTGTCAAATTTTCCGAACTACTACTCACTCCTAAGCAGCCCCTTAACTAAATGTGCGGATTTAAGGAAATCTCGAGGCTACGATAACTTGGAAACTCGAGTCACACGTCAGCTTTGGGAAACCGTCTGCATAGAAATGCCTTTTAAGACAGATGCGTAAGTCAGATAATTAAGCCTACACGTCTTGTGGAATAGGTAGGGGTAGGCCGATGAAAAAAAATCATGTTTTTGACAGAGTACTGATCCCGGTGCGAAACGGCCAATCTTGGCCCGCACTACGATCAACCATTCTGCGAATAGCAAAACTTTAGTTCAGGGCTTCCCCATGACCGCATACTGCCGCAAACAAAGTTAGGATGGCTGGTCTAAGGGTTGTTGTAGAAGAACACACATTAATTAAACTTTGCCAAGCAGCAGTTTATTTCACAAAAGAATGCCTACAAGTAAGGTTTCTACTTACACAGAACAAAAGGACTAGATGGTGTATATAATAAGCATAAACAAAGAAAATAGAACACTATGATGAGGATGTAAAAACTACAATAGAGAGAGAAATTTGTAAAACTAATCACAATA